GTTTCATGTTGGGAAATGATGTGATTGTCCTTGAGGTGTATTTGTTGTCAAGTGCCCCAGTAATTCTATGAGTAATCACAGGATATCAACAGTGGACCTGTCATGTCAAAATCCGTCATACTTGTCGCTCAAGAGGTTGTCCCTATTTAGGTGATCAACAACCTTCTTGTTAAGTATAAAGTTGAAAGAGTTTGCTGATGACACCAAGAAGATTAATGGGTCTATACTGTGAGGGTGGTGAGCGCTTAAAATTTGGGCAAACACTTGATACCTTCCATAAGATTGGGAATAACTCTGGGTTAATGTTCATAAGGACAACCACCGGGATTTTCTCTTGACCGGTGGCATTCTTAGGGTCAAAATTTTTAGACTTATCGGGCTGTAATGAAAATATTACTGAGATTGTGCTCAGTACGTATATTTTTTTCCTTTTTTGAGTTATGTCTATCTGTATACATACGGATATAATTTTCTTTTTTGGAATTAGGCTGTTCGGTATATAAAATATAATAAATACTACAGGTGTTGAATAATTTTATTTTAAAATATCTTAACAGCAGTCATTCAGTGAACAAACGCTGTCCATTACACACTGCCGCTACAAAGTGGTAACATCATTACCAACGCTTGCTTAACAGAATCTGTTGAAATACTTCTGCTTTACAAATATTTTATTCCTACTAAATCCAAGTTATTGTGCCAAACACAAAAAACCTAGTCAGTAGAAATCATAAATCACAATAATAGACGCAAATTATAACAACCACTGCGTAAAATTTCAAAAGGAAAAAAATTTATTTTCAGTTTACACAATTACGAAAAAAGGTACAAGTTTTCACAAAAAAAATCCTTTTGTACACCTATTAAAACAGGACAACAATTTCAACAAAAAGTGAAAAGTGGCAAATTACAGCCAGAAAAACAAGGATTTTGTAAATGACAAAAAGAGAAAACAATACAAAAGGCAGTAAAAAACAACGGTTCAACAGCTTTTGAAAAACCCCGGAAAACCTACTTTCACTTACCCCACATGCATTTCTGAGATACAGTAATTTCTTGAAGAGTCCCCTTTTAGATTTAATTTCCCACAGTTCGTGCTTAGGAAATCTTTTTGTCTTAGGCTGTCCCACTACAGGAGAATTTTCTTTTGGTCCCTCCGCGGCTGAATGATAACTGGTGCCTTGTTTGATGTTCTCTTTTTGATGACAAATGCCGATGCCTTTTTTTGATGTTGGCCTAGTCTCTATTCTAAAATCTTCTCCTCTTATCCACTGACCTGATCTCTGATCTAAAAGCCTTTATACTCTTGATGTATTCAAAATCTTCTCCTCTTATCCACTGACCTGATCTCTATTCTAAAATCTTCTCTCCTGACCTGATCTCTATTCTAAAATCTTATCCACTGACCTGATCTCTCTATTCTGACCTGATCTCTATTCTAAAATCTTCTCCTCTTATCCACTGACCTGATCTCTATTCTAAAATTCTTAAAATCTTCTCCTCTTATCCACTGATCTCTATTCCTGATCCTCTTATTCTGATCTCTAAAATCTTCTCCTCTTATCCACTGACCTGATCTCTATTCTAAAATCTTCTCCTCTTATCCACTGACCTGATCTATCTAAAAATCTTCTCCTCTTATCCACTGACCTAAAATCTTCTCCTCTTATCCACTATTCTATTAAAATCTTTGACCTGATCTCTATCCACTGACCTGATCTCTATTCTAAATCTTCTTCCTCTTATCCACTGACCTGATCTCTATTCTAAATTCTCCTCTTATCCACTGACCTGATCTCTATTCTAAAATCTTCTCCTCTTATCCCTTCTATTTTAAAATCTTCTCCTCTTATCCACTGACCTGATCTCTATTCTAAAATCTTCCTCTGATCTGATCTCTATTCTAAAATCTTCTCCTCTTATCCACTGACCTGATCTCTATTCTAAAATCTTCTCCTCTTATCCACTGACCTGATCTCTATTCTAAAATCTTCTCCTCTTATCCACTGACCTGATCTCTATTCTAAAATCTTCTCCTCTTATCCACTGACCTGATCTCTATTCTAAAATCTTCTCCTCTTATCCACTGATCTCTGTTCTAAAATCTTCTCCTCTTATCCACTGACCTGATCTCTATTCTAAATCTCTACTGACCTGATCTCTATTCTAAAATCTTCTCCTCTTTTCCACTGACCTGATCTCTATTCTAAAATCTTCTCTAAAATCTTCTCCTTTTCCACTGACCTGACCTGATCTCTATTCTAAAATCTTCTCCTCTTATCCACTGACCTGATCTCTATTCTAAAATCTTCTCCTCTTATCCACTGACCCTGATCTCTATTCTAAAATCTTCTCCTCTTTTCCTATCTCTATTCTAAAATCTTCTCCTCTTTTCCACTGACCTGATCTCTATTCAAAAATCTTCTCCTCTTTTCCACTGACCTCATCTCTATTCTAAAATCTTCTATTTATCCACTGACCTGATCTCTATTCTAAAAACATGACCTGATCTCTATTTATTCTAAAATTTCGGCTCACCTATGCAACACTATTTGGGATGTTGTTAGAACATGAGTCCACGTAGGTACCTCCATGAGATCGCCAAAAAGGAGCATAAATAAAAAGTGCCTTAAACTTGATGAAAATATTTTTTATTATCTAAATGTTTATGAGGAAAGATTAAAATATTTTGGGGGTATTTTTTACATTTTTTAATCGTTCCTTGCAGGTCCGAAATTTTCGTTAAAAATCTTGTTTTCTTGAGTCAGAAAAATTGACAGAAAATCGATCATATCAACCATTTTGTAAACAAAAATGAAATTCTCCGTTTAAAATTCTTTTAAAAATCAATAATAACTTTTTCAAAATTTATTTTAAGAAAATTAGAAATTATAAAGTTTATTTAAAATATTTTGAAACAAACATTACTTACTTTCTGCACCGAAAAAAATGTAGTTTAAAAATAAGACAAAGCAGGTCTTGACAATGGTGTCAATTGACAAGTGACGAGTGATGATTTCATCACGTATTGACAGCTTACGTGAGGGAAAGTTATCGTACGGAAGGACAGAAGTGACATAATTATTTAGTTTTAAGTGAACCAACTTATTTAGCTCGTTATTTTTAAGGAATATTTTCAGCGCTCTAATTTATTTTTGTTTTTCTTTTTTTGTACTTAACTTTCACCTTTACGTTTACGATGCTTTATAGAAAATATATTATAAAAAATTAAAATAAGACTGTTGAGAGTGGTATAAAATTTCATAAGAAAGGTATCTAATTAATTTATAGGTACCTTTCTTATGAAATTTTATCAGTAGTGTACATAAAATACTATAGTTTTATGTACATTTATTACATTTTACTGTGTTATTTGTATTTCCATTCATTTTATTATTAGTTTTGATATTTCATTTATGGAAAAATGTCATAACTGAGATTAATATAAAAATAAGATCATATAAATTTTATAAGATAGGTACCTAATACTTGTAAGTACCCTTCTCAGTTGAAATTGAAAAATCAAATTAACTTTTCCGCGCGTGTTTCGCTCGAACAATTTGCAAAAATAAAGGCCGTAACAGTGGGGAACAACTCAAATAACGTCACGTTTCATTGTTTTTATGCTGCTTCGAGTCTTCCGTACATTGGAATTACAGCCGTTTTATGGACATAAAAGCCATGTAAAATTGGATTTTAATATACTGGTTGTTCGTTGATTGTAATAAGCTTAAGCTTTACAATTTATAATCTGTAAAGATAGATCTACTTAATAACACCATTGACTAAACTGTAAACTACTTTCACTAATTTTAGAATATTTAACAACTTTAATGTAAAAAAAAAAATAAATAAAATAATTTAAGAAATAACAAATACTTGTTTTTAAAAATTCATTTTTCATCGAAAAAGTTTTTTTTGCTTTCAGATAATATTATCCATATTCATAAAAACGATTAAAAGTAACTAAAAGCATTTGAAATTAATAATATCTTTGTTTTATTGAGTTTTGTATGTTACATTTCAGAGCTAATTTTCAGTTAGAGGTGCTCGATTAAAAAAAAAAAACCCAAAAAAAAAAAAAAAAACATGATTTGCTTTCCTCAAAGCCTTGTCCTTTTAACTAATATAATCACTAAATTGTACGTTAATGAATTTCTAGAGTTTTCATATAATTAGTTATTGGGGGGGGGGGGGTTATAAATATAAAAAAAAATATTTTTGCCATGACTTTAAAAATGGAAAACATATTTATAATAATTTCCATCATTTGTGAATAGTTTTTGAAAGTTTCATTAAAATCCGACAATTATTTTTTATTTTTGCAAGATTTTCCATATTAATGTCTGTCATAAAAATATGCGCTAAAATTTCGCTGACACAAAGAGAAACAAGGTTTTTTTTTAATCAAAAGTTAAAATGTTCTAAAAAGAAAGAATTTTTTTTTTAATAATTAAAAAAAGTACCTTGTCCTTTCCTCTTAATAATAACATAAACATTTTGATAAAATTTTGTTTTCGTCAAGTTTGGATCTTTTTCATCATGCTATACTCTTTTTTAACGATCTTACGGATGATCCTAAGTCCACTTATTGTTCAGTAAATACAATAAAATCATTTTCCATAAAATCGAAATGGATCCTGAGCTGAAAAAGATACAGTTGTAACAATTTTTACACAAACCGTCTGGCCTCCATAAAATACACTTCTTTCAAAAGAACGTGCATTAAAAAATCAACCGAGATGATTTTATATTTAGACTATTATAATATTTTTAAAATAATAAAAATTAAATTTTCATATCTTCTCATTCTTACTTTTGGCCTAAGATCATTTTCTAAGATTTGGTCACAGCAGAATATGCTCCGACAAACAATCTTCTTTCATTTTTCACCAGAAAAAAATTCAAGAACTTGTTTTTTTTTTTTCAGCCAATTAAAACAGGAAATGTTAAATTCCTGCAAAATCAAAAGAAAAAGTTTATAGACGCAGATTTCAACATTAAACATTTGGCTTCTTCGGCGAAAACAAAATTTCGATTTCTTCCAAAGATTTGTTCTTTGTCTCAGGCAGAAAGAAGAAACAAAAAACCGATCCAATGAGAGCCACGGACGCCATTACGTAGAAAACACCTGAAAAATGAAAGAAAAGAAACAAGATTAACATTTTAATAGTAACTGTTTTATTATACGACACAAAAGTTAATAAGAGCAATAATAATAATATAGAATAATAGTAATTTCCCTCCTTCTTCTTGCTGCAATCTGTCCTGTGAGTATCAAATTTTCCAATCCCTATTTCCTCATTATGTGCTCTAGAAATTTAAACTGTCTCTTCCTGATATTAGGCCAGTCTTCAAAGGGAAGAGCCTACTTTCCTTGAAAATCAGTATTCGGAATATTACTGTTATTCTAGTTCGAACACAAAACCTGAACACAGATAGAAAATCTACAGTTCTCTTATCCACCCCAAAAGACCACAGGAGTCAGGGTAGATACGAGTTTAGTTTCATACCCAGTCTATTAAAAAGACGAATAATGTTCGTTTCTATTATGACGATTGATCAGTGTGATATTTACTAAGTTCAGTTTAACGTAGCACAATGTCAAATTTAGAAAGTGAAAGTAGAAATGCGCCATCTCCCAAGTGAGAGAAACTTGAATTTTAATAAAGAACTGTTTTTCTTTTTTCAGACAGTGGCACCTACACGGATGGTAAATACACGCCTACCCCAGTCATAAGGTAGGCCCTAATGACTAAGAAACTTAATAAGAAATGTTACGGCCAATTACCACAGCACAAAGTTTAAAAAGAAAAGATAAAAAAGCGACAACTCATCGTCTAAAAGACGCTCAGGTTTACAACTCCACAGCGCAGCTTCAAATACACGATTTTCCAACGATAACCAACAGTCACTAATGACAAACGCCAATATACAAATTAACAAGATGTAATTACAACTAGAGACAATACATAAAAACATTTAGATATGAGAATATGTACTGTATATTTCTGTGTGGAAAGATGCGTTATTTTCATGGGGGCAAAAGTTGAATATTATACTTAGCTTCATTTTATCTTCTGAATTAAAATAAGGTTTTCTCTTTTTCCTTCCCTCTCTCTTTCTCTTATCTTTGTCCCTTTTAATTTCAAACACGTTCGTTTTAATCGATTCTTTTTACTTCAACGTTGCGTTCATTATTCAGTCATTTAATTTCGGTGCTGCAGAAATCGTACATTTAGTGATGAAGATTTGATGCTGTGTAAGTCATAGATTTAGCTGTGCAGAATTCATGTTTCAGATCCTTCATCCAATTAAGTATACCGCATATGAGTTTCTTAGGCGACGGTCATGTTTTCGCCCTTAATGTAAGCTGCATAGTGTTATGTTAAATTGGAGTCAGTCTCTTGTTATGCAAGCTTTCTTGCTTTACTGTAACAAGTGAAAAAGGAATTGTCTACACGAGATTCGTCTCCATCTGTATATCTGTTTTGGAGTTTCAAGTGAGTTGCGGTCGTCATTCGTTCTTTTCAATTCGGAAAGTAAATTCATATAAGAATTTAATATACATTCCATTTCCTTCGAGATTTATCACCCAACTGAGTTCTGTCGATCTTTCCCGCTCGATCGTTCTTATTTCGTCACGTGATTCGTCATGTGTATGAAAATCTATTTTTAGCTTTGGCTCCCATCTGTTGCCGTGGTCGTCAGTCTGACCTAATTGTCTTTGCGTTCAGCGACTGCTAATATCTATCAAAAGAGAGATGGGTAGTAGAGTTCACATATTATATTGTTAGAGTGATGGTAAAGAGAAATGGGTTGCTAATATTTTGTGTGATGAGTTAAGGAAAGCCATAACAGGAAGGAATGCGATTTTTCAGTTGCTAACATGAAATCGCGTAGACCGTGAGGCTGAGCCGTAGCGATATTAAGCATTGGCATTTACGGAACTGCGATATTAAGATATTGGCATTTACGGAACTGTTAACGTCTTTATAAAAAACATTTTTAAGTTTTGCTAAAGAAACAAATACTGTTGTAGTGGTATTGGTGAAAATAACCGTTTCCATACAGAAAACTTTAGGCATAAACTGTTGGTTGAAATTTATAAAATCTTTATTTTAAAACAGTTTTTTATTTTTTATTTTTTTTTTTTTAGGAAAATAGACATCTCAATCCATTGTTATCGCTCTTTTTAGCATTCGTGAGACTTTCCTTCCTAACCTTTTGTTCAAGGCAGTGTGGAAAGGTTTGATTATATCATTATTTCCGCTTCTGGTTACATGTGCTATCCATTTTAATTGTTGGAATTCTACAGCTGAAGCCGGTTGAAAGTTACTGTCATTTAAAGAAAAAACACCGTTTTCATAAATTATCGTTTATCTAATAAATAAACGATCATTTGTGTAAAATGAATCTATGTCTATTTAGTTACTTACAGGTTGCGATGAATAAATTGTTGTCTAAGTTACGCAAAAATGAAAATAATACTAACATCTCATTTTAACAGATATATTTACCAAAAGTATACAAAAATATCTTTAAATGCTAAAGAGTAGATTTATTCAATAAAATCGCAATTGGCTTCAACCAAAGCCTCCAGACGACTTCGGAATCTGCTGCAACTCTTCTGGACAGTCTCCTTGTTTAAGTTGGTGAATGCTACCATAATCTTTGCCTTTAGTTCATCTTTGGTCATACTAGCTTAACTGCGCCCCACACATAATAATCAAGGTGGGGTTGTAGTCTAGGGAGAAAGGTGGCCAGATGTAAGGATTGATGCAGTCGCAGAAATGACAACCATGACTGGATTCTCCTGTTTGTGTGACATGGTGCAGAGTCCTCTTGCCAGACATAGGGTCATCCAGCATCCACCCGCTTAACCCAGGGCAGCACTTGTAGGTTTCCGTGTCGAGTTTGAAATCTTGCGGGAAGATGAATGGAGGCATAACATCACCATCACTAGTGACCACTCCAGACACCTTTGTAATCACCATTAGACTCATCCAACCTTTTTTCATTCCTCTGCACTGTCCCCAGATTGACATCCAAACACTCTGAAATGTTTGTATTGAAGCTTGCCGTTTCCAAATTTCTGGCGGAGTGAAGTGCGCAATGGTGCTCTTTTTCTCGGGTACCAACTGACCCTACTATAATGTGCAGTCGACAAAAACAGTTAATAAATTTATCGAGATTTGAATAAATAAAAAAGAATATTATTTTTAACTGTTTTTCAGTTTCATCAATTATCTATTCTTTTTTAAATACTTTATTTCTTTTCCCACCTTTGCTGATGTTTTCAAGACAAAGAAAATCCATGTAACTCTGAAACCAGGGCCAATAAATTGCCAACATTTAATTTAGGAAGTTTAATTTAAAAACAAGTCATTTGACATTCTTACCGTAACTTCGAATGAGTTCAACAAATGAAAGAAACGAAACTGCGATAATCAAGTTACAGATCCAAGCAGTCATGGAACCAAGGGCATTGCCGGTGCTTCGTGCCCACAGGGGGTAAATCTCAGCATTGATTGTCCACGGTAGGGGACCCATACCTTAGAAAAGAAAATGTTAGAGAAAACATTGTTGAATATTTTATGAACAGGTAATGGTTTCTTTCTTTATGTTGCAGAAACAAAGAATGAGTAACCTAGGAAGTCAGAACTTGACGCTGTTGTTGTTTCTGTTGAAGAGGTTAATTTCTTCTTCGCCTCAGCAAACGTAAATTCGAGGAAAAAGAAATATGTCGTATTTTGGCTAAATAAATATATAATTTATTTACATATATACAAAGCTAGCATACTAGTCGTTGCTCTTGTAAAAGGCGACAGAGTGGGCAAGGAAGAAAGAAAAAGAAAGAATGTTGGTCATGGTTGTCGTCTGATGTTTTGTGATGACGGTAACGGCGAAGGATGAAAATTGAAAAGTATCTCTTTCAGTCTCAGTCTGCCTGCGGTGTTCTTGACCAACCCCTGTGTGTCAACATCTCAACCGGGTCTCTCTCTCTCTCCCTCTCTGTGTCTTCTGCGGCGTTGAATCAAGGAATTTATATCCGTCATATCAGCTCCAAATCACAGTCTTTGTCTTTTAGCAGGAGTTATTTCTACTGGTCAATATATAAAGTTAATTTTATCATTTAATGCCAAAAACATGCGTCGAGCCATGATGCGCAGAGACGCGATTTCACATTCTGCCTTGGGTCGTCGAGCAGCCATCATCCGGTTTAGTGTAGGAAACGACAATGTATACTTCTAAAAAACAATAAGACAAGAGCTTTTTTCGGGTGCCTAACAGCTATGGTCATTGACTAGATATTGTTAATAGAGAATGGACACTCCGGCATGTTGTAATGGTTAGAAAGTTTGTTTCGCTAGATCAATTATGACTAATTACTGAGTCCGGTCCTCACTGGGGGGCTCCATACTTTGGTGTAATGGCTAGCAGACTTGTTTCGCTAGATCAATTTCGACTGACTAGAGAGTTCGATTTTCACAGGGTACACCATACTTTGGGCCTTGTGCCACATCTAAGCTACGCTTAGAAAATCACCATCATGGAAAATCAAATATGAACTCAATGACAATTTCGGATAATTCCAGTTTCGATAAATCCGAGGGAAATTCTTCCAGTAAAGCAATAATATTTAAGTTATTTTTCAATTTGATTTATTAAATGTTGAGTGGTTTTCTCAGAAATGTAGGCAAAAAGTACTCCTAAGTGTTATCTTCCAAATACTTATCTACATGGTTGAACATGGCAAAGTCTTGTTTTAATGACAGGCTTAGATTCAAATAAACTCCTTTTTTAATTAAAGTCTTGAGGCAACTAAGATTGGTCGTAATAATTCAAGACAAATAAAATGTCCATAAATTTATTATAGATGCCATCAAAAGCTATTTTGCCTCTATAAACCTGATGGCTCATGCAAAGTAAAAAGAATATATATTATATATATAATGATTATTCATCAGTCAATTACTGAAACCTCTTGACGAGTGAACCGAACGATTACAAAAAAAGTTTCGTCTGCGACACTCTGGAGTTGGGGTGCCAAAGATAACATCAAATAGCTAAATGACAAATAAATTTTGTCTTTTTGTTATCTCCCCTAAAACATGTTCCGCAGTCTGTTTACACAAGCTCACTAGGTAGTTTATGCGTTGCTTTCCTCTGTCTAGCTTACCTTCTATCTGTCCCGTGAGTATCAATTTTTCGAAGACCTCTTTCCTCATTTTGTGCCTTGAAAACTTTGAGTATCTATTTCTGATGTATAAGTGTCCCTTTTTGTTTTCATTTTCTCTAAAACTTCGTCGTTGGTCATATGTCGGTCCATGGTATTTTCAACATCTTTCTGTAGAACCACATTTCTGTTGCTTCAATTCTCTTCTTTATCTGTGAGGAGATTGTTCAGTAATCACCCCCATATATGAGGACCGATATTACATAACAATTTAGTACTCTTTAATTTGTTTTGAACGAGACACGCTAAAATATATAAAAGCGATGCAAGTTTCATGAATCAAAGTTCAAATCTAGCAAGAAATAATGTCTATGAATTTAAGCGCAGTACTAGATTAGCGACAACGTCTCACCAATTCACAGTTGAATTGGCTACAAATTTTATGATAACAGTTTCTTTTCTCGTATTTTTGTGGAACTTCCTTCCAGCTTCTTTCTAACCAACTTTAATCTTTAATTTAAATGCAATGTCTATCGTTATCTATTGTCTTCTTAATCAAACTTTTAGTGCTCTCGCTGTTTAATAATGTTTCCGATTTCTTATTATTTTACACTCAGTAACCCTTTGTGTCTTGGTGGCGTTACTGCATGGGGCGAAATGATTTAAAAAAATTAAAGTAAAAACGGAAATGATATAAATTAGGTTATGGGAAAATTTCCTTAGACTGTTAACTGACTTTCGCGATATACAAATGTAAAATTTGAAAGTTTGAAATTTTCCTGACAGACAAGAAGAATTAATATTTAATCTGGCTAATAAAGTAGAAATACTTGCCAATTAACATACGTGAAAATAAATTCACTTACCTGGAGCATAAAACATAAGGTAAAGCGAAAGTCCGATAATCGCTACCCACGAGAAAGACACGGGACAATAATCATAAGCCCATTTCATGGAATATTTTGAACGACTTAATGAAGAGTTACATGCCCCTACTTCGGATATCAGATGAGAGGTGTCGTTGACTGGTAGACAATCGCCGTCTATGACATCACGTATATCTTCATAACAAAAGCCACAATCTGCATCCCTGACGCAGTCGTTACATTGACTGCAATAAAAACGGTTATCGTTTAAACTAAGTATTTTTTTTGATTTTACATTACTATCAATTTATCAAATATAAGAAAATACTGAAAAAAACCATTTTATGAACTCATAGTTTATTCACGCGGCAATTATAAACATTTATAAATAATATAAACCGTAAAATATAAATGTAACCGTAAGTTCTATGGTAACAGTTTCTTCTCTTGCATTTCTTGCTTGTGGAATTATCTTCCTCTCTAGTTTTCCTGTCAACAAAGATCTTCAATAATTTAAATACAATATCAATCGTTATGTTCTGACTTCTTAATTCCTGTTATTTTATTTTTTTTCTCTTACCTTAATAAAAATTTTCTTTTTCTCATATTGTATCACACTCAGTAACCCTTTGCGTCTTACTAGCGTTATTGCCTTGCTTGGGTGAAATGATTAAAAACAATTTTGAATTGATATTATTGTCCTAAATATTTCTATGTAGGACCGTTATTCTTTTCTTTGTACAGACATAAAAATCCATGCCACTTTTTGCCTGTTGATTCTTCTTTGCTTGTCATGTTAAATGAAACAGTAAGGTATTGTACCTTGTTTCAAACGCGCGACAGGCAAATGACGTATTCATTAGATCAATGTTCTTCTGCTGATATAGGATGAAATGACATTGAAAATATCACGTTTGCGATAGTTTTTTCGTTTTGTTTTTAATTATTTGAATTAGATTTTTTTGTTGTTTTTTAGTAATGTGTTAAACTCGTTAAAAAACAGATTTAGTATTTTCTTATGACATTTTAAGTAGCCGATATTTGCTTTCAGTTTAAAAGATGTTACCGATTATATTTCTAACACTAAACCTGACGTAATTGCAATTAAATTTCACACTATAGATGACAATTTCGTGTTCCGTTTATTGCTTCTCTCCTTCAACCACAGTTTCGAAATAATGGCAAAAAGCAGAATACAAGACGAGAGAACAGGACATTTAAAAAGCGTAGTTTATTCTACTTTGCGAGTGCAGAAGTCTTTCAAATTGGCGATTTTTTTCCTGCTCTTACCTGAATTTCTAGTTGCTTGGTTGGAACTAAAATGATGAAAGAACAACACACGTCTCTAGTGCCATTCCATCATTGCCGACTGGGCCCAGAATTATCCTCAATCACAATGAATGGGTGTTCTCCCAAGAAGGCCCCGTGCCTTGAGTGCCTATTGGGACTCAACCCAAACCTCAAGTGGAACTCATACAGATCCATCGCTAAAGTGTCTGGAAAAATCGTCAGTTCCCCGTACCTGACTCCATGCACTATCCTCTACCTTTACCAGATCAAGCCAAAAATGGAATACTGCTGCTATACATGGGCAGGAGCTACCAAGTTTTAGTTCCTTATTTTCATCAGTGCTTACCTTCACGGCTAAGACCCGCCAATAACGCACACTTTAGCGAACTACCATAATTCCCTTCGTATTCCTTTTGTGAGATGTAGGCTTGAGTAGATTCCTCCCTCAACCGCTGCCCTGTGAAACTGACTCCCAAGAGGATGCTTCGCCAATCACTACAGTAACCTATTCAAGTCTAGGGTTAATCGTTATCTTCCCCACATATCAGCATAAACTATAACTCTTACTCTGTAAGTGAATCCCGGACGTTGTACAGCGTGAACATCATCATAAAAAGAATAAAATATTCGTTCGGTTTAAATGTGAGAAATTTCAATTTCTTGTATTTGGGTCGGCCTAATTATTCACACATTACTTTTTCAACAACTCTTAAATTTAATTTAGGGTGTTTATTTGTCTAGAATAAAAATGGAATGACAAAATTTTTACATTGAAAAATATTTTTGAAGGGGGTTTGTTTCTTCTACAGTCTAAAGTCATCCATGACAAATTGTATGTAGCTCTGAGTAGAACAAGAAACTGGAGTGATTTAAAAAGTACAAATGGAAGATTGTAACGGTCAGAATAAACTCTTACCATCTATCTATCTATCTATCTATCTATCTATCTATCTATCTAGATACAAATTTACTGTAGATGATATTGCGATTAGAGATTATATATATAATTCTTGGTAGGAAAAACCGTCGTGAGATTCGACGTGTTTTTAATCGTCTCGGCTACGGAGTACGTCGACAAGCAAGCAAAGTTGAATAATGCCATATTTGAGTAGAAGCTTCGTTTATTTATTAAACAGTAGATTTATTTATTTTCGTCTACCGGCCTGAACATTGGAGAAATCTTATTGAAGAAAAATATTCAAACCTGCGTTCCCCTCGTCAGGAGAAACCGTAATTATACCGTTTAATAAATAAACGAAGCTTTTACTCAAATATGGTTATTCACTAAAAATAACGTTTAAGTAATAACATCTGTCGGATTAATAAATAAAAAATTATCATTTTTTTTTAGAAATTGGTTTGTTTATGTTAGGATATGAAACTGAGTAGAACGTTTCAAGAGGCTGAGAAATTTGCATTTACATTTATAATTCAATACGTTCACCCAGATGTTTTACAAACAGGAATGGACACGATAACAAACACCTCAGCAATCACCTGGACAATTTCTCTCACCTGTGTTTCAACGGTTTTATGCCTTAATATCTCCTCACCTTTTTTCTTTTATTTTTCTTTAGTATCTTTACATTTTTTTTTCTTTCTTGCTTTTTAATTTCCCCTCATTTTCTTTCTTTCTTCATTTATTTTTATGCATTTTGATAATCAATTTTATATGTGTAAATTTGTATGTATTATGAACAAGTTCTGTCTATTTCATCGTTCTTTACAGAAATGATTATTCAAGGGTTAAGATAAATCTTAGTTTTAGTTATTAATGGAATTTTCATTTGATCATCAATTTAAAGTTACTAAAGTATACATACCCTTTTCAAGAACTTGATGTATTGTAAATGTCTCCTAAAAATGTATTCTTTGAAACATTTTATGAAATGCTAAAAACATTCTCGTAATTTGAAGTTTAAAAAACAAACATGATTCCTTATGAAGCCAATAAATTCCATTGAATGTCGTAGAACAAGTTGACAAATGATCGTTTCTTTCTTAAAGTGATAATAAAGTTAAAATTTGATTCAACGGAATAATTAGTCTAAGTCATTAAGGTTCATCTGTTAACTTTAATTAAATAATGATTCTTATCTGAAGAATGGAATTCTTACCTGTATGTAGAACAGGTGTCGTTGAGAAAATCGTTTGTGGTATTGACCCTTGGGGAATATATGGCTTCCATAAGGAAAGTTGTTCCTATACACAAACTGCTGAAGAATAGACCTAAACAAAAATAGAAGAGAAAATATTTTAGAATTAAATCTTCAAAAGAAAAAAATATGATCAGTCTAGGAAAAAGTCTTTTTAGTTCGCAGAAAATGAAATTGTTTTTTTTTCTTTTACCAAAGATATCGTCTAATAAAAACTGTGATCGTTCCTCCCATCTAAATTCTTCTTTTATGACTTTCTTCATTGTTGACTTATCAGTAACCCAAAATATACTATATTTTTATGCCATCGCTAATTTCCGATGTCTATTTTTATGTTTTAACATAAACGTCGAATGTTGTCGTGTCATAAAATTTTCGAAGATGTTTAGAAAAATAATTCCAATATCTATAGATTGTTAATCTGTATCCCTGATATGGAATTTCAACACGATTACTTGCATCAGATTCGCAGTGATAATCACAGGGACGGGAAGAAGTTTGGTGTGGTTTAGTGATACCCATTGTCAACTCCCTGATTGTATGCCCCTTAGGACTCAAGCGGGGGTGTGGGGGACGCTATAGGGCCTAATACTGAGAAATGTGAGAAAAGAAGACATTTTAAATATGTAAAAATAGATGAAACATAAAATAAACACTTTATTCAAATTAAATATAAACTAAAATTTTATTTCACTCTTTGATTGGATGCCCTGCCAGTATGGATAGCTGATGTCGTCGCACCTTCAGACCCCCCCCTCCACATTTCTGCACGCTACTGGATGTCAACGACTTTCCAGTATTGTGTTCAGATATTGCCGACAGCCATTTTTTCATAACACATCCTTCATAACTATAACACGATGACAAGATAGTTAAATATGGCGGACTAAGATTACTCTGGTATAAAGATGATCTAATAAGCCACCCAGTGAGAATCGAACTTATTACCTTCAATGATTTGACTTCCAGACAAGATTGTTAAACATTAGTCTAATCAGACAGCCAACAAGGATGAAGAAAAAGTTCTTATTGTAGAGTCATGGTTAACAAGCTAGTGTCAAAGTCATAATAAATTAATTCAGTCCTCACTATGTACCCTGTTGTTGTTACCTTGTGCCAGACTAAGTTTGATAAATACCTACTTTGAAATACATAGTTGAACTTATTAATTTTAATTTTTTTTCATTAATATCCGAAGTACACTTTACCTAAGAGTCCAATAATTGATAATTTCCTTCTCCCGACTGAGTCGACCAGCCACATTCCAATAATGGCAAACGTGAGGCTAAAACAGTTAACAATGACAGAGTCCCAGAGAGCACTTGACACATTTCCAACGCCAGACATTTGGATTATGATTCCACTGTAAAATCTGAGACAGAAAAAAATGAAGAGAAAATATAACAAAAAGTAAATGAAGATAAGAGACATGTTTTTCCACGGTTTTTATCGAAAGAGACAGAAATGAAACAGATATGAACTTTGAGACTAGTCAGTTATTTATTAGTCAGCATATCGAAACAAAAACAAAGTAAAATACTTAACGATAGCCTGAAACGAAGGGAAAGTGATAGCTTTCAGTAACCTGTATTCCTTTTCACTTTCTCTCAAAGAGATTCATGAATAGAAGTTCAAAATATTAACCGAGAAACAGTTTATGATGGTGACGTTTGCGATCATTTGGTTAATTCAATCTACTCAGGTTTGTTTGTTTCTAAAATCTGCAATGATCTCTAAACCAAAACATGAAAATATTGTACATTTTAATGTCTATATCTTTTAATCTAATTTTTAGTTTTAAATTAGACATTGGTTATTGTTAAAATTCATAAAATTCAAACTCAAAGCAATATCTGAATTAATTAAGAAAGAGTATAATAAAATATTAATTAATGTGAGTGAAACGCAGCATTTATCGGCGCAGTAAATACCAAGTTCAAATTTCAACCGAATTCAAAATCCATCTGTTTTACCCCCAATTATTATTGGTTCCATCTTAAATAATTCTGTGAAGTTAAAGTTTTAAGGAACCTAATTTTTTATTACTGTATATCTTTGCAAGAAAAAAAGGTCAGTCTATTTCTAAAACTGAGATGCTCAATGTGGATTGAAGCCACTATCGTGAAACTATCCCAAAACCTGAAGATCTACGATTGGCCATCCTTGAGGCCTGAAGGCAACAGCGTTCCTTTCAATTGTTAGTCAAAGATATCCGTGAATGGAAGTTGAAAATATTAATTGAGAAACACCTCTTGTCGAGGTTTCATATTTCCGACCACTTATTTAATATATTTGTGTTTGCTTTCTTTAAAAATTTCCTGTGATCGCCCAGCCAAAATGTTTGTATCTTTTCATTTAATTTTTAAATTCTGAAATTAAATGCATATTATTGTTAAATTTAATACAATTAAAACTCAGAACAATTTAACAGAGAATATAACAAAAATATTTTGCAAAATAACAGAATGGACAAAATGAATTTAGCGCATTAGTCTTCTTACTTTAAAATTAACAATTCTTTCATGACATTGTGATAATATGCTGTAAAATTAATGACCAGGTAATATTTTATGGGGGTTATTGATTTTGGTTTGTTGGTGTTAACAGGTAATGTAAGTTTATGCTATTCCCAAGATGTTTGTTTGTTTAACGACATATCATCACCTTTATGGGTCATTTAATGCCAAAATTGAATTTTCTTGGAAACATTGCCAATTACTTTGACGGAAAATGTATTGCTGGTATTTTTTTTTTTTTACAAAATATGTATTGCTGGTAATTTTGTTTTTACAAAAATGAATTGCTGACAATATTTTTCATTACAGAAATGTATTACTGATAATTTTTGATTATGAAAATGTATTGCTGGTATCTCTACTACAAAAGATTTTACACTTTCATAATGCTTTGAACCCCAGTCTTGGGGGGGTAACTATTTTCCCATAACTGGGACCCTAACAGGTGCTACCACCCCGGGTCAGGGTGGACCTGGGAACAACAACAGTTAAGAGGTGGTTTCAAGCTCCTCAAAACCTTCAGAGGCCTTGCTGCCGGATGTAGTTTATCGTCATACCCAACATAAATGAGAAGCCAGCTAGGGAGAATAAAAGAAACAGCGTAGTTAAGTGTTTCTTTAAGTATTGTATTTATATCGGTTCATTATTAACTCCATGTTAAATAATTTTGTACAGGGACCTGACTTATTTCTGTGTATCTTAGTGTAAAAGAAAGGTCGGTATATTCCGAAAATGGAGTTTCCAACTTGAAATTAGAACCAAACTTTTATAACGCCGACATATACGCAAGATTGAAAAGTCTATGTTTTGACATTGAACAGGATATAAATAGAAACTTTTGTAAATTGAAAGGTTTTGTGTAAAATTAATCAATTACATCTTACATAACTGTATTCACACCCGAGAACTGTGCGAATAATTGTATTGCACAACCGACCACTAGAGCCCGTCTTACAGAGCGAGTTTTAAGCATCTTCACAAGCAAATTACCTCCACCTGCAAAAGAGAAACAAAAGAAGCCTTTGTATCATCTCATGTATCATTAAACATCAAGATCTTCCAATTAAATCAGATTTGATTTTACTAATTTACATTTGGCTAAGGGGGGAAATAAAGAAGATTAAGTTGAATTAGCGTCGGTGTATTAAACACAGAAACACTTTCATTTGATAAGACGAGACGCATTTTAATATTTCATGCGTTCTTTATTAACAATGAAAAATAAATCTTTTTATTTAAAAGTAAAACATATGATTTAAGTTTTTGTATTTAATCAAAAAGGAAAGATTTGTGATACCCGCATTTATATAAACAAAGTTGGGCAGTCTCTCACGCATCGTACACAGAATATTAGGTCACGTGTCAGATGAAGACGCGCTTCCGAGACTGACCGAGAGTAATTGACGAAGTCAAGGGATGATATAATGTAATGTTTCATATAAAAAAAATTCAGATCTCGTGTTCTCATTAGCCGGAACACCCACTTCATGAAAACGAGTTTGCAATTATCCTCCTGGAAGTGGGGGTACTGTGCAGGGAATACAAAACAACAGTTTTTTTTTCTTGTACTTCTCGCCTGTGGAACTCTCTTCTGGTTACTTGCTTTCCAGCCATCTTTGATATTCAACTATTTAAATGTAATGTCAATTGTTATCTACTGTCTTCTTGATTACTCTTCTATTGTTCTCGATCCTTTATGTTTTTATTCTTTTTCTTATTCTTTCACACTCAGTAACCTCTTGTGTCATAGTGGAGTTCTCGCCTGGCTTAGGGGTCCTGCATCTTCTTACTTTTAAGCAATTATAACTTAGCATGGAATAAGGTCATAAATGCGCGGTATCAAGTGAAGATCGAACTCACTATATTAGTGGAATTTTTTCCAAAACGACTTACGCTAAACCTCCCAAGGTAATCTTATTAATTCAGTTAATTTGTCATCGCGATAAGGAAATAAAGATTTTACCTAATTTTGCAATTGATTCCTGTATTTCATTAAAATTAGCTTCGATTTCTTGAATTTCTTCTCCAACATCTTTTGTATTTCGAATTCCAATCAATGCTTTCGTCGCTTCATCCTTACGAGATTTCTGAATAAACCAGTGTGGGGATTCCGGAAGGAAAATCAAGGCAAAGAATTGGGTACAACTGAAGAGAGCCTGGATACCCCATATGTACCTAACAAGAGACAGAATGATTTTAATATGATATATAACTGAAAATGAATTTATAGTATTAGATTATATTACTTTTCTATATGTTGACTAAATATTCCCAATTTTGTCACTGAGGGTCACTTTCTTTCTTGTGGAAATGACCTACAACATCACCGTCTTCATTGTGCGCCGAGATATGGCAGCTCAGCAAAACCCTCGCCTCCCATGTCTATGGCGTCGTGTCCTGAGCTCTCAGGACCATCGAAGGCGTGCGTTAGTTCGATCTTGTGTCCAATGAAGAGCCCCACCGGAAGACCGGCCAGTCGAACATCTTACGCACCGTCGCTCAGAGCCGTATTCGCTGTCTCGTTCATGTCCCGCGACGATCCGATGACCACCCTACCAGAGTCATCTACCAGTTTCGACACGCCATCTGCAAACTGACGACAACCTCACGACAGAAAGCGCAGATCCTGGAAGGACATCGTCTGCCAGGACCTCCAAGAGATTAATCTGGCACTGGAGGATGTTCCGACGCTCTGCTAAGACCGTGAGAGCTGGAGAAACAACATGGCTTTCGTGCGAGCAACGTCTTCATGCCATCAAGGTCAATTTATTTGGGAAACCTTCGTGGAGAGTGCATCAAAATATTATTTGGTAGAAATTTGGTAGATTTTGAAAATCTTTCTCATAGACATGTTTGCTGATCTTAACGTTGTCTTCACAAAAACAACACAGTAAGAACTTGTCTTAATTAAATTCCTATTTAATTAAGACATTAATTAAAGAATTATCCATGAAAAATATGGAATCTACCGAGTATATTTCAGCAAGATATATTGGCAATGATGGGATGAGGAAAAAAAAAAGGAAACTTTTATAAATCAAACATGTTTCGCTCAAAGAATGAGATATGGAGAAAAAGAAAGAAAGAGAAAAATTCTGGTATTTTTAATTTTTGTCTTATTTGTTTTTCATTGATTATATAGACTTCACGTGCATTTGTCTTGTCAAGCAGCATTCGTGTGTAAAAATGATATGTGTAAGTGTATCATGATTCTAGTTTGTCTATGCAGGATTCGGATATTCGTTTGTGTGTGTGTGTGTGTGTGTGTGTGTGTGTGTCTTGTAGGCATTTTTATTTCTGTTTGGTGATTGTCTGCATGTTGATTTGGGGATGTCTTTACGTAACATCAGTAGTAGTAATGGAAGTAAGTAGACTTATTTTGGATTCTTTAAGTATGGATTTTATAAAAGTTGGTGATTAAATATAGTAAGTTTGACGTGTGTTTATAGATGGTAAAATATTTATCAGGATTCTCTCGAAGTATTTGCTGCGTAAAGAATTATGTTCATTTTTTTTTTTTAATTAGGGTGTCATTTATCAAAACTAAAAACAGAAATTGTGCTTCTATTTTGCCGTTCATAAAATCTGTTAGTTTTCTTCACATCAGCTTCATAAAGAAAATTAAAATATGGAGTAAATAACCGTAAGTTCTATGCTAACAGTTTCCTCTGTAGCACTTCTCGCTTGTGGAAATCTTCTTCCGGCTTCATACTTCCTAGTCAGCTTCAACCTTCAAACATTTAAATGCAATGTCAATCGTTATTTCTACCTTCTTGTTATTTTATTCTTCTCTCTCCTTAATAGTAGTTTTCTTATCTCACTAACACTCAGTAACCTAGTGCATGTTAGTGGCTTTATTGCATTGACTGGGTTGAAATGATTAAAAAAATCAAACTGCAATTGGATTTGGGGGAGTGAAATACAACTACAACTTTGGCTATAAATATCGCCTGCATTTGGCGATCATAAAAATGTAAGCTGAACTCATGCATACATTTTATTGGTTGTTAAATGGTAACATTATTCTGTGTCGGCTTCATGTCAAATCCAATTGAATGTCAAACGAACAGGACATGAATCGGAAGTACGATTGAAAAATACAATGGTTCTGAGATTATTATCGAATTTGTCCGAATAACAAATGCATTTCCATAAAATGCCACAGACCGAGAATTACTTGAAGCAAAAAAACTTCTTATGTACATATAAGAACGCAAAGAAAACCAGGAATTTGTGTCATGCTAAAATCTGTTATAAGTCTTACTGACATATTTGCGAGCTCGTAGGTATATATTTGCTACATGAATTAAGTAAAATAATCGATAAAAATGACACAGGCCTTTACGGCGATGACGGTCTCGTAATCTACAGAAACTATAAGCAAAACACTGACACAACCGAAAAAAAAAAACAATCATAAACTTTTTCAAAAATATGTGATTCGACATAAAAACTAATCTAAAAGAAGTAGATTTCCTAGATATCACCTTCAACCTAAGAAATGGTATCAACCAGACAGAAAACCTAATGACTTACCACTGCATTGGTAGTGTTCGCTTTTATATTTGATATTTACATACGTTCTATCTCTGATATTAAGAATTTTACCCATAAATATAGCATACCTTAAAATTATATTTTTGTCATAAATTATACATTGCGTTTCAAATTATTAAAGAGGTGACATATTTTTCATTTTGTTCAAAAACTACCAGCCAGAATTTAATAAAATTTTCACAGTATAATGGGAATAATGGGAATAATACTCAGGCTGCATAAAAACTGTATTGTTCTGCATAAGAGAAAACAATCAGTGGCCATTTGTAATATTAATGCGATATAGAAATATTCCAGACTATAAACGAGTGTCATTATGATCGTGCAATTATAAATCTGACTTGACTCCTTCTGGGAAAGATATCATAACATTTGAACTTTCCAAAGGCAAATCTACATTAGAAATATCCAAAATAATTGGAAGAGATCACCAAACTGTTAAAAAGATTTGTTGCAGATCCTCTTAAGGTACGTTAGAGAGCTGATAAGGGTCACTTGAGGGTTGTTTTCTGATGTTCTTTTTCACGAATAAAACATGAAGCTGTAAATAACCCAGGACTGACCAGTGGAACACTTTTTCAGCAGCATTGCAGAAGTAACAGTGTCCAGAAGTACTTGCTATCGTCTTCTGAAAAAGGCCGGGACATCAGTGTGATCAATTGACAAAGCCTCGACAGAGAAAAGTACACATACAAATGTGTTTGAAATGGACAAAAGGAAAACATGAAGGTCGATTTCTTGAAAGTTTTGTTCACAGATGAAAGTCGTGCAACACTTGATGACCCTCTGATGGTTGGAGAAAAGATTGGGTCGTAAATGGACGAGATAATCATCAGCGCTTTACACGCCAACAAGGAGGAGGAGGTATTATGATTTAGGTTGGTATTATTGGAGGTATCATGGTTGATCAGTGGAGAGTGCCTGATGGAACAAAAATAACCGCAGATGCTTATATAGCCTTCCATAAAGAGAACCTGGAATCTTGGCTAAAAACGCAAAGAATCACCTTCAGGAGAACCATTGTATTTATGTAAGATAATGCTCCTTTGCATTCAGCACATAAAACTATGGAGGAACTGCAGAAATTAGGCTTCTGTGGACCTCGGAAGATGAACTGGACGGTCAGTTCTCCAGACTTAAACCCAACTGAAAACTAGTGGAATATTCTGAAGCATTATACTGATGAGAACAGACGCCAGTTTAGAAGCAAGGATGACATATGGCAGGAAATAGTCAACATATCACATGGAATTCCATCAGAGGAGATCCAGAAATTGACATGTTCGATGGACCATCGCCTTTTCCAAATCATTTTTAAAAAAAAAGGCTCAAATATCTCATATTAACCAAATCCACTATCCTTTCCGAATTGTTTACTTTTTTATTTCTATTTAATTTCATCTTAATTACTGTACGTATCCATAAAAATCTGTAAATTAAAGTGTCATTTTCTTTTTTTACAGAGGTTTTTATTACATCTCACTAATAATTTAAGTAAATTAGGTAAATGACCGTAACTTCTGTTCCTTTTTCTAGAACTTTACAATTTTTACAGAGTAGTGTATATATATATATATATATATATATATATATATATATATTGCAATCATTCAATCTCTGATACTTTCGTTAAATTCCAACCAGTAGTTTTTGGATAGAAAGGGAAAGTGTCACCTCGTTGATAATTTGAAACGCAGTATATATATATATATATATATATATATATATATATATATATATATATATATATATATATATATTTATCAGATGTGTTTGGAAGCTCATCCTAGCTGATCTCAATCAGTTTCCTTATATCTTTCGTTTTTGTTTTTATTGTTGTTGTTCTTTTAAATATCCCACATTACGACAATAGATCAGCCTAGAAAGATGAACCTTAACGTAAATTTACCTCAGTGCCTAATTTTAACTGAAGTCTACCTTTATATCTCCCCGCACCTTACACGTATATAATTCCATAAATAAGAATATTACTTTAGTCTGATGAAGTGCTTTCAGAGGACAAAACGCGTTACACAGAATGTTTCCACTTTGTCATTCAATTACCTAACTTTTACTGGTACATAGACTTTTATAACTAAATACGTTTTTTTTTTTTCGTTTTCGCTCCAAAATAAATTGATTTCACCGGTACTAACGCATAAACTCTTCGATTTTCCAATAAATGTTCCGGATTGAATAATTCTACTTCTTGTTTGACATGAAATCCTATTTTTCTGTCATTTCATTTAGTTTCATAAAAAAAATGTCTAAACGATAGTAAATGTCCCGCCAAATGTTGTACTCTATCGTTCGACCAATACATGAAAATATGGCAGTAGTTGTGATGATGACGTAATACATCTTTTCTGATAGTCTTTTGTTCTTAAGAAATGTTTGCTATTTTGAAATACTTACCTCCATCCGTTCTTTTTGTCGTAGCTGAAAAGTGCGGAGATGATCGTGCCAAATAAAATCCCTATAGTCAAAAATGGCTGACTCAAACCAATCAGACGACCACGCAGATGGCTTGGAGAACATTCTGCAACGTACACAGCAGTTGCAGCACAAGCAATTCCTGAAGAAAAGAAAAAAAAATCTTCATTTTATTTTAAATAAAATATTCCGATGTCGTATTTTGTAAGATACACATTCTGAAACAGTTCGAAATATTTTTCACCATCTTGCCAGATTTCTGCGACTGTAACTGTCAAAGAACAGTGTCAGCTCTTTGGGCCAGGGATACAATTTGACGCTGCATTAGGGCAGAGTATGCGATTTTATCACAAGTTGTTTGTCGCCAAAACACAGATAGAAATGTGTAAACTTGAAAAGAGCACTAAATAGAAGTGTGTGAATTTGGGAAAGAACTCGAGATTTGTAGTAATCTATCATTTTTATCATTTTTCAATCCCAAGAGAAAGACTGCAAATCTCCGTTGAACAAGTCTTGAAACTGCTTTAGCAGCTTTTAGTTACAAATATGTTGTTATATGTGTAGTCAGGACTGGTGCGTACGCCCCCGACCCTCGACCGGGGGAGGTAAGCCTGTTTGGGAGCCCCGGGTAGTGCTTTGTGACCCTTGCTATCTTATCATTTGCTTTTTCCTATCTACATTTATATACGTTACAAATTAAACTAAGCGCAACTGACTATTAAAAGATGAAAAATTTTCACTAATTTTGACGTCATTCTGGGGTCTTTTTTCATCTAAATCCGTGAATTAATAGTTTTTCTCATGTTAAGCCTAGAAAAACACTATATAAAATTGACTATTTTTGTTGAATGAGTTAAAATTATTCAACTTTCTAAGAAGAAAAATTTCAAGTGAATATTGTTGATTTATTTAAGATGAAATGTTCTATTATGACATGTCTCTAATTTATATTTATTTTAGTTATATTGTTCACCTATATTGTGTAGGTTACAGTAAAATTTGTATTTTATATGCATACTAACTCATGAAAATTGAGATGTAGTAGAGTGTAGTATCATATATTCGGAGGTGGGGGGAACCTATAATGGGGGGGTACGAGACCCATGAACCGGCCATGTGTGTAGTTATAACAAAAAAAAAAAAAAAAAAAAAAAAAAAAACAAAACAAGCAAATGTTAAACCCTTTCTTCGTCCGAAAATCTAGCTCAAAAACATCAAGCAGTTGGATGGCACTTGGCTTCAACTCGTCTGTGAAACATGGTTTTAATACTGGAATCAGACTAAAATAATTGACGCCTTGTCAGAGAATAACAATATGTTAATGAAGCTCTTATCTCACAACAATGATTTGTTCACGAGAATTACAAAAAAAAAAAAAAAAAAAAAACACACAAAACTTGATTATTTGCGCCATTTTTGTTTTGCCTTGTGTACTTTTCTTTCGATAAAACCGTGCATTGAGAGGCCTAAAATTAAAACAGCTAGAAATTCACCCCTCATATACGGAGGTTGTTTCTTCTGATTGTTATGGGTCGAATTTTCTCTACTTAAATGGATGAATTATGTCTTTATTTTTATATCACTTACTACAATATTTTTTTGCATTGTATACCTTTCCTCCAAATGTGATACACTTGGAAGGATGAAATAAGGACAATTTGTAATAGAATGTAAGAAAAATTATATAAGAGGCATATTTTTTGGATTGTTAGAATAAGTCGATTTGTGAATTACCCCATTTACTTTCATAAATAAAAACCGCCGCTAGGGGACACTCTCTAAGCTTTTAAATAGGGAGTAACATTCTCTGCCATCCTCTTTTTCTTACTTCATTCAGGGATGGTAAGATGTAAGTCGAACGAGGAAAACACTTTCCCCACAGGGAAACGCACACGCAGGCACACAAACACATTTATCTCTTACACCAAACTACACGCACACACAAACAATTCACTAGTTTAAATGTTTCTTTTTTCATGCTCATTGTTTTTGTAATACGCAACAATTTCCTATTGTTTATGTAAAATCTTGTTTTGTTAATACATACTTATCGTTTGTTTATATATATAGTTTTGTTGTTACTTTGACATTGTATTACCTAGACTCACATTGGAGTCTGCCATGTTTGTTGTGGGATAAATACACCAGGAGACACGTGTTTTTCCAACTTACACACTCGACCAGCTACGTCCACAACAGACTGACTTCTACTTCCAAGGGATGCATTCATAAATAAATCCCAGACAGACGTTATGTAAGCTTGTTTTTTTTTGTTTTTTTTTACGCATTTAACTGACTTGTAACATTAACAATCGTAAAATCAGTGATTGAGTTAATGTCTTAATCTAGCTACCTCCACGGATTTACTAAAAAAAATAAATAAATAAAAACGCGACTGTCAGAGGTCAATTAAAGTTATGGAAAGAAATCCCACTAACACGGAGGATTTGTGGGTGAAGCTTCAAGAAGAATGGTCTAAAATTAGTATCGAGGATTGTCAAGAACTGATTCGTTCTTGTAGTCGAAGATGTGCAGCTGTCATTGAGAGCAAGGGCTCATTTACTAAATATTGATTGTACATGGATTTTTATTGTTTATTTGCCGTTTACATTGTTTTTCTCAATTTTGTCCCTTACTTTTGGACGATCCTATTTTGAAAATAAATAAATAATTGTTATAATTCTTTTTCTATCCTTTGCAAATGATTCAAATTTTAGTATGTTATTATGGATGATAACGACTACCAGTTGTCAAAATTTCAGCTTTTCACAGTTGTTATTTCTAACAAATATTAGGTTTTAAAATTTTGTCCCTTAGTTTTGGATGCTACTGTATTTGTGTCAGTGATTGGGAAAAATAATATAAGATTTTTAATTATTTTAAACATACACACACATCTTTTCGTTATCTATCTGATGAAGCCATTAGGCGAAATGCATTATCGGATATTATTTTCGAAACATACTTTCAAAAATGTTTTTCCAAATGTCAATAACTTATAACTCTGTCAGGATTACATACTCAGCTTTATTACATAGACTTCTAATAAAAATAACCGATTCAGTATACACTACACTCATTAATAAATAAGTGCTGAAAATTGTGTTTAAATCGGATAATTGTTTGATTTTTAGCATTTTTTAAAAATGATTTCGCTTTCATTTCGGAAAAAAAGGCATCATTTTTTGGTGGTACCTACTTTTATAAATTTGTATAAGGCTAAATTTTGTGTGTGCCCACTTTGCACCAGTAGAACAAAACATCGTTTGCATAGAAAGATTTTATACTTGCCTCGTCAAAATTCTGTGGAAAAATATAAAAATATCAGTGTCCATATTTAACGAAAGGATAAAATCAATATAATCTTCTATGGCTTTTAAAAATATTTTTTATGAAAACTGACATAATTTCTTTCAGCGTTCGCAGTTATTCATTGTTGTTGTATGACAACTCACTTGACTACAAATTAGTCAAGCGGAGCGGAAAAATATTACTGAATTATTTAAATAAATCAAAATTATCTGTTTGATTACATTTTCTTAAAACTGTACTGAATTAATTTAAAAAGTGTAAAAATTATTAAAATATTTCTCTCGTGGTCTTGCTATACATAGAATTTTTAGAAGCAAGAAAACTATGACAACTCATTTTTCTCTGGAGAATGAGTATTTGGCATGTAGATAAAAAAATATATAAAAAACGATAGTCTGTATATATCATTGCTAATACCGCTTGAAAAATGTTAACATCTTTCAACCTCAACTATTTATATAGAAGGTAACAGATTTCACTTTTGCAAAAAAAGGAAGTTAAAGTATTACAAATAAATTAATGCTTCGCCACTATGCACATATACGTGAGGCGTGTTTGATTAAATGTCAATCATTTGAAACAATAAAGAAAAAGAAAATGTAGAAAAATAAACAACGGGAGGGAAAGTTAGACAATGGAAGAAAAAAAAAGAAAGGAAAGTGATGAAGTTAAAATAATTATTCAGTTATTTCACTTGTAATCTAAGTTATTGATCCTCTCGGCGAGCAAGCCGTTGAAATGAATGCATGAAGAAATATATATGCCAACACACACATACATACATACATACATACATACATACATACATATATATATATATATATATATATATATATATATATATATATATATATCACCACTGTAACAGAATAAAATCTGGAATAATTGTAAGATTCTATTTAAAAGCATTAAGAATCTGTAGCCCCAATACTTACCTGAAGAAGAAATATATATAGTAAACATTTAAAAAAAAAACCTCAAACGTCTTCATTATTTCATTCACAATGCTAAAAAAAAAGGCATACAAAATAAGCAACAACAAAAAAATGTTGACATTAATAACAACAACAATAGCAATAAACTAGAAAAAAACAGACACATAATACTACCTACTAACTCGATAACATCCACTATCAAAAACAATATCAAAAATAATTACAACCACATCCAAAACTATCAGGGATATAATCAGAACCAAAAGTATTTATAAAAATTCTGAAGCAGGTTTATATAAAACAAACTGTTCCTTACATTGGGGACACTTACAGAAATTAAAATAAAACATATCTATGAACACAAAAAGGATCTTACACACAACAATTTATCAAATGCATTAGCCATACATAGAAATAAATTCAACCACAAGTTCAATATAAAGAATGCTACACTTATTTAAAGAGAAAGTAACATATAGAAAATTTTTGAGAGTGTCACTACTGAATCTTATTAAAATACAAATCTACGTCTTATGTTTTTTCTTCAAATATCTCTTTTCCGAAAAGAAATCAGTTAAATTCTGTTGTAGCATACCTACAGACGATAATGGGTATGCCCCCATTTTTATTATGTTTAAATTTTGTGGGAATTTTTAAAGTTAAAAAAGGAAAAAAAATGATTGTACTTACCAATTCCGCATCCGATTAGTAAACGTCCGATTAGTAAAGACGCTCTATTATAAGCAGAGCCAGAGACGACACACCCAAGTATATAACAAATACAAGCAAACATTAGACATTTTTTTCGACCGAAACTGTCGCTGATAAAAGCCCCAATTAAACTAGCAACAGCGGCACTTGGCAACGATCCAGCTGTAATCAACTGATTCCATACTTGTGTCAGATGAAGATATTCGATGTCTTTAAAAAGACGACTGACTCCCGATGAAGAGCCCATGTCATGACCTTGATTAATGAGTGATAATTGAGCAATGAATGTCAAAATATACACCAACCACGGCGTTTTCAACGAGTTTCGATTATTTTCTTTTGTTTTTACTGCTTTAGTTTCTGAATTAACATCCATTAATACTAAATTATGCGATGGATGAAGGTTCCCTGCAAACAATGTAAATCTTTGAAACTATACTGACACAGGAGAAATTTATATCTTTAATATTTCATCCATGTAAATGAAAATGTAATACATTTCATGACCGATTTGATTAATTTACATGCGTAACTAAGAGTGGATAACGTTATTGTTAGCGCTTATAATATCGTTGAATGGTGGCAGTATCCAGCTGTGAGTAGAGAATGGTTGTGTACGTAACATTTGTTGGGAGATAAAACAGAATAACAAGATAGGAACGATGTTGCTGTTATATCGAATATTTGCTTTATTATCCCATAAATTTGTAGAAGAGAGACGAAGTGAGCTGCATGGACATACACACACCAGACACATACACGCACACATGTATGTAAGTGTATATATATATATATATATATATATATATATATATATATATATATATAGGATACAGTTATGAAATTTGTTACTTAGCTAATTGGTGTTATGTGTTATATTCAGCACCTCTACTCCAAAGTTATGTACACGAACCTTTATGTAATTCTTCGTTCCACTCGTCAGGAGGTTTCATCAAATGTCTGTCAATTTTCTCGTTATTTTTGTATTAATTTGGGAAAAAGTACTTTTTTTTAATTGATGTTAGGTTAATTTTCCTTTGTGCGCATGTGCATGAGGGGATGCATGTTTGGTTGATATCTTGCTTCAGAGTTCAGTATCTCTCCTACTGGGAGCAGGATTCACAGCAAGCTGAAAACAGTGGCATTTAATTTTCATAACTTCCCTCTCGGAGTTCAATACGAAAATATTTTAAAAGTGTACGAACTTTGAAATACTCTACCAATTAACGCCCAGGCTCATATAACATATCTCATTTTTTCCACAAAACAGCTGCTTTTAAAATGTAGAAGAAACATAAAAAAAAGCAATACTGATGAAAATAAAGATGAAACAAAAATCGATTGAAAATTCAATGATATCGGATAAATTAAACATCTAGATATATCGGACATCAAAAATTTATGGTTTAGTGTCTTTGTATTGTTAACGTTCTTTATTGGTAAACGGCATTAGTTGCATTTCTCCCATTCTTTTTTTTCATTGGGCGGCCATTTTGTCTCGTATCGTATGCTGAGTGAGGTGTTTCAGAAGGCAAATTTTTATAAGGTGAAAGTTATTAAAATTAAAATAATTTTTGTTTCTACGTAGTAAAATATCAAATGTATCGTTCAACTGTTAGTGTGTATGCGTGTGTTATTTATGAGTCAGAATTAAAGTTGCTAAGTGTTGTTTGCCTTTAACTGATAGGCTAAATTGATGAATGTACAATTACTTTGACGTAGTGAAAATGTTCACTCTTTAAGTCATTTGTAGGTGATGAATATCCATGCAGACAATAGTTATTTGTATGCTGCGTTGAGTTTGCTGAGAAACTTTAAGTGGATGCGAGTCAGTAAATTGAACAGCGTGGAGTTTATATGGATCTCTTGAAATTTGATGACTGACTGACTTGAATTGAGTCATGTATTTGTTTATATAGAGTTGGGTGTTTAAAATTCGGCTCCAGGGACCTTAGGCGGGAAAAGGTTCTGTTGTGACTTTGCTACAGTTTTAACCAATAGAAGATTGAATTTTACTGAAACGAAATGTTGATTGGTTAAGGCTTTCTTTTATGGAAAGAAACATTTTTCCGAAAGGGGTGGAAGGTTAATATGGAAGTTTCCACAAGTCTACCAGTCGGTGAGTATACTTACATTTATATCATGATCGGCCTATGAACTTTCCAGAAATGTCTATGCATGCACGGTTATATGTGTACATGTATTTACATTTTTATATGAATAGTGAACATGTTAGTATGTAAATAGATATTGTAAATGAATATGTGTATGTACCTTTGCATATCTATGTAAATGTGGATGTATATATATGTATATGCGGATATATCATTGATATTTGTGCGAATATTTGTAATATATATTTGAAACTACTTATTAGATGTGTATATTTGTATTTAGATCATATTTAGTGTGTGTATATATATGTGTGTGGGTGTGCGTGCAGTTGAATATATATATATATATATATATATATATATATATATATATATATATATATATATGAAAATTTTCACAGAGTTAACTTGTAAAAAAAAGACAATAATTAAAAATGTAAAAGACTATAGGAAAATTGTAATGGTAGCCGACGTGTTTCGTCCAATGTGCACTTTTTCAAGGCGTAAACGAATGAATTTATTAAACAAATTAACTAATAATAACAAAACAAAATGTCCTTAGCAAATGGAAGAATTTAGAGAACGCTATTTTCATACTGTTAACTGAAAATTACGTCAATTACTGTCACATGTAGAGATATTGTTTTTATTGTTGCGTTAACGGATGCAACCATTTTCTTTTGATTTCTTGATACTGTTGTGAACGTTTGTTTGGGAGAAAAATGCTACACTCATAAAAAAAAGAAAATAACTCACTCAGAAGGAAAATTCTCGAGAGTGCCATCATTGAATATTACCCAAATATTAATCTACTACGTGGCTTTTTTTTTCTTATTTCACCTTTCTTAACAGAATTACTACTCTCCCAAACAAACGTACAGAACAGTCGAAGCGTACACAGTGGATTGAAAGTAATATAATATAATATAACTCAAGGCCGCATAGAGCAAGAATAACAGAGGAAAATATTTTTGGAATTTAGCCTGTACTACTCTACCAGTCGCATTCAACTGACCTAGCAGCAACCTTACATTAGTTTTGGGGGAAGAGTGGAATTGTAGACTGTTGGAATAAAATAAAAATACAAAATAAAATAAAAGTACAAAATAAAATAAACATTAAAATCTCCCAGGAGCCCTCTGACAAGAAAGACAATTTACGCATGTGCAAAAAAAAGAAAGATTTCCTGGCGCCAAAGATAAACTAGAAGAATTCTCGGTTGGACCTTTGACTGGTGAACACGTGCCAACTGTTCGGGAAGGAAATTCCCCAACAAGAGCTCGTTGAAATCCAGAAGAAGGAAATAAAATCAGTGTCCTAAACTTTCCCTCTAGTGTCTCTGTATCCTTCCGTCTAATCTATTTAAGATTATATTATCCGCATAGAACTTTGAGCAGAAATTAAAAAAAAAATAAAATCATAATATGAATAATAATAATAATAATAATAATAATAATTACACACACCGATGTCGTTTGGCCGCGTGGCCTAATGGACAAGGCGTCTGACTTCGAATCAGAAGATTGCGAGTTCGAGTCTCGTCGTGGTCGATTTTTGTTGCTCAACTAAAATATAAGATAAGATGGAAGTGTCTTGGAGATGCCGCAGGTAATTTCCATGTCAATTTACGCATATTTTCAACGTTACACGAGAATGTTTTTCATTATATGCGTGAAGTTCTTGATCGCGTCTACGTGAAACGGTCTCGATACTTTTGTTGTCATTTTTTTTAATTGTTCCGGGAATAGTATCAGATTTGAAACTGTCAGTTCAGCACGATTCGCTGTTTCCTCTCAAGGAGCGGATTTCAGAAAAGTACCACATTTCGGGGAGTTACTTGAGAAGTGTAACTTATCATTCCATGAATGACGAATTCATGTCTCGGATTCCATTACAGTTGTGTTGTCACGGAAACATCCTGGAAAACTTATAGTTAAAATGTAGAGCAATTTTTCGAGATTTTAATCTCGCAACAAAACACGTCACCATTTCCGGCGAGGTCAAGCAAATTGATAGGAAATAAATGTCGTTATAAAATCCACTTCATTCACTGTTATCAAGACAGTTGTTCCTCGAAGCATGAAAACACCAATCTATCCTCAGCTGTCCGACTGTGTATTATTATTATTATCGTCAAAGTATGAAGCAAGCAGCAAAAGAAATACACTGAATTGACTTGCGTAGAGATGGGGAATTATTATGTCAGGATGGCCGAGCGGTCTAAGGCGCTGCGTTCAGGTCGCAGTCGGGTCTTCCGGCGTGGGTTCGAAATCCACTCCTGACAATGCGCGAACGACTTTTTTTTTTTTTTTTTATACATTAGCAAATTTATACGGTATGAAAAATTAAAAATGATCAGCATTAAATGAAAAATCGGGAATTTTGTCATTTGAATGATGCGATCCAGAAAGTATGAAAAGCTGTTTTCGGTAAACCGGTTATTGTTTACATTCCAGACGTGTATAGAAGAACACATCTCAGCAAATATATCCTCTCTATTTTTCAGAAGAAAAAAGTGTTTTCGGTTTGATTTGGTGTCACGCCGTTGTCGCCATGGGATATTGAAAGGCAAAGAAAAAACTAAATGTCTCATCTGCACGACACGTTCAATTGAATCGAAGATAGGTGAGCCGTGTGAAATGCAGGCATTGTTAAACACTAGATGAGTGCAGTAATTTGTGGAAATATCAGTTAGCATAACTGCGCCATTTTCTTACATCTTGGTTATTAAAAGTCCCCTACTCACTTCGTCCTGACATTCTTCCACTTTTAGCGCCCAAATTGCCAAGGGCCTTAAGTTTAGGGGAGTGTATATTGTCAAAGCTTAAATAAAGAAGGCCCACTCTACACTTATCGAAAGGAAATTGAGAAATTGTTCACTTTTCTCAATAATTTTGTCTACAAACTTTTCCACGGATTGAAAAAAAAAATGTTGAAATAATTTCCGAAATAACATTTCGTTTTTTTCCCAGAAGAAAATTAACAAAAACCTATAGGGAAAAGCGTTCCCACACCGGGAATCGAACCCGGGCCGCCTGGGTGAAAGCCAGGAATCCTAACCACTAGACCATGTGGGAATCTTTTTGAGAACAGTGGCAGCGTGCAAAGTGGATGAAAGAAAATATGTTTCCATGATAACGAAAGTCGGCATACAGCAAGATCAATACAGGAAATCATTTTTGGAACTGAGCCTGTCCTATTATACGCATCGTATTCACTTGACGTTGCACCAAACTTTGCTTAGTTTTTGGAAGTGATTTTTGAAACTAACCCTGTCCTACTATATGCATCTTATTCACCTGACCTTGCACCAACCTACCTTAGTTTTTGGAGAACAGTGGCAGCGTACACAGTGGATTAAATGTAACATGATAACGTAAGGCCGCATACAGCAAGAATAACACAAGAAATCAGTTTTGGACCTGAGCCCGTTCTACTCTACCAATCACATTCATTTGACCGTACCATGTCAAATGAAAATCTGTGGAATTTTACCGAAAAAATTAGCAACGATTGATTTGTTTTTCCGACTTATCAACTCTTTGCAGACGTTTTAACGCCTGAAAATATTTTTGGATTGTAATGAATACTTTGTCTTCATAATAATAATATTTTACACATAAAATTCCTACTATTCAGCCCATAGCAGGCGGTGGAGACGTTGATTCATACCCTTCCCAGTGATATTTGCGTGCGAGTGAATTAAAGAAAACAGACGGAAATGTAACTCTTTTCTTCGATTTCTAATTCATCAATTACACCACCCGGACATTCAAGCTTACAGCATCTGGTATACGTAAGCGGTCACTCATCTAGGTATTGAACAGGCTCGACATTGCTTAACTTCGGTGATCGGACGAGAACCGGTGATTAGATTTCTAATTTCAGGCAATTCTAAATTGAATATATTTCAACACATGTTACTGTTTTTAAATAATATCAAAATAAATTTCATGTACTAAAAATTTTACGCCTTTAAAATGTATACAAAGTAGTTTCGTCCAATCAGTGATCAGTTAAACTGTACTACGCCTATGTATTTCTTATAACTTAGATCACATTTCTTGGAAAACATGATCTCCCAAATAAGGCTAGAGACCCTCTAGCCTTATTTGGGAGATCATGTGACCCAAGTTGTATTTAAACAAAAGAGCGCGAATCTTAGTCAGTGAGGTCCGAAGCTTGCATCAGTGAGAACAGAAGCTTCCAACAGAGAAACCAAAACTATTCGTGAGAATTGTAGCTAAAGACAGTGAAGTTGAATAACCTTTCTTGAACACTGAATCAGAAAATTCAACATCCACTACAAAAGAAGCTACATCAACCATTGTGAAATCTACATAACAAGTAAATGAAACAAAAATCCTTTTCTCACACACTCACTCACATTCCGACAACAACCTTTCTAATATACTGACACATTTCACAAAGAAAATATATTCAATAGTAACAACAAAATTATTTAAGTTCACATATAACCTTAACTATTAATGAATTCAATCTATCATGAATTTATTCTATTCTTCTCTGTAAAAAATATCACGGTTCAAGGCAGATAACTTCTTTCAAGAAAAAATAATATTTCTTATTTGATTTGTGATATAAGAGCATCATTTGAATTTAAAGCTGACTTACAAGAAAAAGAACAAATCAATAATATCCAAACTTATATGACTAAGACATTTCATACAAGAAGACAGTTACTGAAATAATTTACTGTCATACGAACATTTCTGAACGATATTTCTAATAACATAAATAGTGAACCACAAGCAACAATATAAAGAAAGAAAAATACAAAGACTTTTCAAAGGACACTTTCTTTGATTATTTTATCGCAGCACAAATTGATTGTATATTTCTGTATATATAAGTTCAATATTTCCATTTATATATGAAAGAAGTCTTTTGTGTCATTTTTTTTTTTCAAATCTTGTGCCAGGTGGAAAACAAATTAAAAGGTTTGTAGAGTTTTTCTTCACACAACTTGATCAACTATATTAAATAAAACATTCCTATATATTATTTGACTTATCACCCAACTCTGTAACAGGTGTTTCAACGTGATATGCCCGGAAGCCCTATGAACTGCGCGTCCATTCTTAAAGCACCTGGTATTTCCAAACGATCATCCATCTAGGTATTGACCAAGCCCGACTTTGCTTAACTTCATGTGTCGGACGAGAACCATTGTTTCAACGTAATATGACCATAAGTCATACCATCCGCGCGTCCAAAAAGGTCACAGTTTCAAGTTCAACCTGATATGGCCGTAAACCCGAAGGTATTGAAGAGCTTATATAGGATCAAGATCCTAAATGTTTCATAAAACACGTTCAAACAGGCTCCAAACAAAATTATGCAAAGACGCTTTCTGATTGGCTTATCAACTACGTCCGAATAACACCGACCTAGTTCTTGACCTGACTAAAAAAATAATTCCGCCCAAAATCTGTCAATGCCTTTGGAGCCTACCACGTGACCCAAGTTAGCAATAAATATGAAACGTCATTCATCCTCGACAGTGAGCCTAAAGACCAGCCTCAAACCCATTCCCCCTTTTCGGCCTTGTGCCATAATTGTATTTATAAACAAAAAATATCGAGCCGAACAGAATCCTTTGAAGTCGTCACACAGTTTCAGGACTTTTTTTTGCTAAAAAACGCATACCCTGATGAAAAAAAAGCCCCAAACTTGATGAAAAATTTGTATTGTCTAAATGTTTGTCATTGAAAGACCAAAGTATTTTTTGAGTATTTTTTAAAAAAATTTTCAATCCTTTCTAGCATGTCCAAAATTTTAGCTAAAAATCTTGTTATTTTTGAGTCATCAAAATTGACGTAAAATCAATTATTATTGACAGTTTTATAAACAAAATAAAATTTCCCATTTAAAATTCTTGTAAAATTCAATTAAACTTTTTTCAAAGGTTATTTTATTGTTATTTATACAATTCCTGAAATAATTTACTGTCATACGAACATTTCTGAACGATATTTCTAATAACATAAATAGTGAACTATATATTTGTTACGGAGTGATTAGTTTGTTTAAATAAAATGTTGATCAGAAGGTATTATTTTTTGGCTGCGTGAACGAAAACATCTCCACAAGCATTTTAATTTACTTGTATGGCACAAGCAAGGCTGTCAAACACCACAAATATAAGATAACAATATATTTTCAATAAATAATAATAATAAAAAAAACATTTATATTACAATTACATTGATGAAATGACTCGGGGAATATATACTAAATTGCAGAATTTAAAGTCAATGTTTCTTATACAAAAAAAAATTATGGCAGGTAAAAGTGTCTTTATTTAACGTGTTCAAAGTGTATGTCAATAATATAGGAACTGTAATGAATAAATCAGTTCGGATTCAAACAAACTGTTTTTAAACAAATATTTTTAGTTAAGAATATTAATATTAAGAATGTGGTAGGAGTTGTCTACCCTGATCCGTTAAATTGTAATGCCTATTCAACATAAACAAACCGTATTTGCAATTAGTATGGAGTAGGTCCTCCATTTTCTAGTTTCAATTATTGTATTCAATTTTTCATGGATTTGATCAAGTTATCAACAATCGTCTGAGCCATACTTTGCTATTCCTTTAGCAATGTTTCTTTAAGGGTTGCCACTGACGTGATTTTGGTTAACCGCTCTCGAAGTCTTCGGTCAAGGTGCTCCCAAACGTGCTCTATTGGATTCACGTCAGGATTTTGGGCTACCCATGGCAGTGACGTGATTCCTTGCGATTCCTTCCAGGCTTTTGCTACTTTGCTCGTATGACATGGCGCTTCATTTTCTTGAAAAAGGTAGATATTCTTGTCAATCTGATTGGTTTCAAATTGTAGTAGTAGTCCTTTCTCTAATATTTGACAGTATTTTGAACTATTCAACCACTCGTCGAGAAGAATCAGTTCATATTTCCCTCCAAACGAGACAACGCTCCATACCATTACTCCAATCCCTCCATGTTTCACGGTCGCCTGCAGACATTCAGTGTTCCAAGTCTCATTCTGATTTCTCCAAACATAAACCAATCTCGAATTAGAATAATGGCAGAATTTACTTTCATCTGATCAAATTACAGACTGCCAAAATTCATAATCTTTGCTTTCTAATTCTCCTGCCCAGTTCATATGCCTGTTCCTGTTAACCTCTGAAATCAATGGCTTCTTTCTTGTAACTCTTCTTTGATAGCCTAGCTCTTTCAGGGTCTTTCTCACCACACACGGCGACATTCCCATGCTGTTGGCGACATCTTTGACGCTCTGACGACGGTTTCTGATGACTTCCCTATTCAGTATGTAGTGACTACGACTACGTTTGCCACGCCTACAATTTTCTCAACTGTGATTGGTTAAATAATAAATACTGTTTACCACAGGACAATTTACTAATCGCAGTCACCACACTGAATTTTTCTGCCGTGAATTATACAAACATGCTTTTGTTAGAAAATCACCGATTAGTTAATTTTTCACCCAATCATATATTTTCTGTGTTCGTTCAATTCTCCCGCCTTTGTTCCTGGAGCCTAGCAGTAGTTATAAAAGCAGTGTTTTGTTCCAAAAATAGACAGTAGAATTCAGCAACTCACATGCGTCTACACACAACTGAATTAACTGTATGCTTTTCTGAATGCAACATTCTATTTCAACATAGAACTTTGAACATTCTATTCAAGAAACATTCTTAATTACATTTTATCTTATTCAAGCTAACAGATAAAGGGAAATTACTTTCTTTTCCTTAATATTCACACATTACAAAATTGTTTTGTATTTGTTGATTTTAATATATATTTTTATCGTTGAAACAAAAATCGTTTTCTCATTGTTTTTCCTTGATTCAATAATGAATAAATAACCCGACGGTAACTCCGACGTTTAAGGAAAATACAATTTACAGTTGTTGACCGACGTGATTCAAGGAATATAAAAACACAAAGAAAGCGAAGTAAAACCCAATTTTGTGCCAGCGACAGCAAAGGAATAACGTACAAAACTTGGCGCGAACAATGTTTTTTCCACCACGTGCGTTAAGAAAATCTATTCGACATGGCCGAACAGAACGCCAACGAAGCAACTGTGATGCTCAACTTGCCAGTTTTCGACACGACCAATGTGCATGTCTGGTTCGCCCAGTTAGAAGCTATTTTTCAGGCAAAAAAGATAGAATCCCAGATGGCACGTTATGCCTATGTAGTGGAGAAGCTGCCACCTGAATTGATTGATATGAAAATGTCGAAATTCAAGGAGATAGAGAAAGAGAATGAGAACGAATCAAACGATAAATGATATGGAAAAGACAAAAGGAAATACGGGGGTAGTATGGAGAACAGCAGCAGGGGGTTGGGTGGTTGGTTTGGTGGAGAAAGAAACATTGTGAGAAAGACAAAAGGTTCGAGGGAAACGGTAAAAAAGAAATAAGGAAAACAAAGAAACGAAATGAATCAATGGTCACATGTTGACATAAATAAACAAATGACTGACTTCAGTTGTAACCATAGATCCTCTCTTTTATATCTACATTTATGAACATTTACTTTCCTCCATATTTAGATGTATGAGTATTATTTACGATGTATAAACGAATTTCTATTTGTTTGTATGGTTAGATTTTACAAAACAAATTGATTTAAATTTTTCAAAGATTTCTGCTTTTAACTAATTTACTAATAAAATCAATAAAAATCCCAACATGGAATTTATCGAGTTTTCATAAAACTAAGTAACAGATCTAAAAAAAAAAGAAGGTATTTTTACCAAGGCTTTCTAAAAAGAACATTTCTAAAATAATTTCATTCATTTGTGAATAAGTTCTGAAAGTTTCATTGAAAATTCGACAATTTATTTTTTACAAGAATTTCCAAATCAATGTATCTTTCACTGCAAATAAAGACAGTAAAATTAGTGTTAGTCCAAGAAAAACGAGATTTTTAATCAAAATTTAGAATAAGAAGGATGAAAAAAAATTGCTAAAATAATAAAAAAAAACTTTGTTCTTTCCTCTTAATAATAAGCTAAAGATTTTGACGATAAAACTTAGTTTTCGTGAAATTTGGAGCATTTTTTCATATGCCATTTTTGGCAAATTCGTGAAGATCCCTATACAATGTTATTTCTTTGAAAGGATGGATATGCATTTACTATTTATGTATGTATTTGCAATTACGTGAATTATGTGTGTGTGTATATGAAGCCATTATGTTACGTGTATATAAATTGTATTTAAGATATATACAAGAAAAAAAATGAAGAAAAATAATACGTGAAAGTACACGAAAAAAAATGAAAAAATGTTTAGTAATCAATATTTTTCTCTTGATAATTTCAGTGAAATTTAATTAATGTGTATTTTATATTACATTGAAATTATGTTTAAAAAATTCCTTACTTTTCTTTTCTTTCACTTATCTGTTAAATTTTGTGGGAGTTTTTAAAGTTAAAAAAAGAAAAAAAATGATTGTACTTACCAATTCCGCATCCGATTAGTAAACGTCCGATTAGTAAAGACGCTCTATTATAAGCAGAGCCAGAGACGACACACCCAAGTATATAACAAATACAAGCAAACATTAGACATTTTTTTCGACCGAAACTGTCGCTGATAAAAGCCCCAATTAAACTAGCAACAGCGGCACTTGGCAACGATCCAGCTGTAATCAACTGATTCCATACTGGTGTCAGATGAAAATATTTGATGTCTTGGACGAGAAGAATGGCCCCTGATGAACAGCCCATGTCATAACCTTGATTGATGAGTGATAATTGAGCAATGAATGTCAAAATATACACCAACCACGGCATTTCCAAGAGTTTTGATTATATTCTTTTGTTTTATGCGATGGATGAAGGTTCCCTGCAAACGATGTAAATCTTTGAAACTACTGACACAGGAGAAATTTATATCTTTATTTCATACATGTAAATGAAAATGCTATATACATTTCATGACCGATTTCATTAATTTACATGTGTAATTAATAATTGGAACGGAGTGGATAACGTTAGGCGCTTATAATATCGTTGAATGGTGGCAGTATCCAGCTGTGAGTAGAGAATGGTTGTGTACGTAACATTTGTTGGGAGATAAAACAGAATAACAAGATAGGAACGATGTTGCTGTTATATCGAATATTTGCTTTATTATCCCATAAATTTGTAGAAGAGAGACGAAGTGAGCTGCATACAGCATACACACACCGGACACATACACGCACACATGTATGTAAGTGTATATATATATATATATATATATATATATATATATATATAGGATACAGTTATAAAATTTGTTACTTAGTTAATTGGTGTTATGTGTTATATTCAGCACCTCTACTCCAAAGTTATGTACACGACCTTTGTGTAATTCTTCGTTCCACTCGTCAGGAGGTTTCACCAAATGTCTGTCAATTTTCTCGTTATTTATGTACTAATTTGGGAAAAAGTATTATTTTTTTTTACTGATGTCAGGTTGATTTTTCTTTGTTTGTGCGCATGTGCATGAGGGGATGCATGTTTGGTTGATATCTTGCTTCGGAGTTCAGTATCTCTCCTACTGGGAGCAGGATTCACAGCAAGCTGAAAACAGTGGCATTTAATTTTCATAACTTCCCTCTCGGAGTTCAATACGAAAATATATTAAAAGTGAACGAACTTTGAAATACCCTACCATTTAACGTCCAGACTCATATAACATATCTCATTTTTTCCACAAAACAACTGCTTTTAAAATGTGGAAGAAACATAAAAAAACAAGTAATACGGATGAAAATAAAGATGAAACAATAATCGATAGAAAATTCAATGATATCGGATAAATTAAACATCTAGATATATCGGACATCAAAAATTTAAGGCTTAGTGTCTTTGTATTGTTAACGTTCTTTATTGGTAAACGGCATTAGTTGCATTTCTCCCATTCTTTCGTTCATTGGGCGGCCATTTTGTGTCGATTTGTATTTAGTCTTTTGCAGGTCGTATGCAGAGTGATGTGTATCAGAAGGTAAATTTTTATGAGGTGAAAGTTATTAAAATTAAAATAATTTTTGTTTCTGCGTAGTAAAATATCAAAATGTATTATTCGACTGTTAGTGTGTGTGCTTGTGTGTTATTTATGAGTCAGAATTAAAGTTGCTAAGAGTTGTTTGCCTTTAACTGATAGGTGATGAATATCCATGCAGACAATGGGTATTTGTATGCTGCGTTGAGTTTGCTGAGAAACTTTAAGTGGTTGCGAGTCAGTAAATTGAACAACATGGAGTTTGTATGGATCTCTTGAAATTTGATGACTGACTGACTTGAATTGAGTCATATGTTTGTTTATATATAGTTGGGTGTTTAAAATTCGGCTTCAGGGACCTTAGGCGGAAAAGGTTCTGTTGTAACATTGCTACAGTTTTAACTAATAGAAGATTGAATTTTACTGAAACGAAATGTTGATTGGTTAAGGCTTTGTTTTATAGAAAGAAACGTTTTTCCGAAAGGGGTGGAAGGTTAATATGGAAGTTTCCACAAGTCTGTCAGTCGGTGTGTATACTTACATTTATATCATGATCAGCCTATGAACTTTCCAGAAATGTCTATGCATGCACGATTATATGTGTACATGTATTTACATTTTTATATGAATAGTGAACATGTTAGTATATAAATACATATTGTAAATGAAAAAGTGTATGTACCTTTGCATATCTATGTAAATGTGGATGTATATATATGTATATGCGGATATATCATTGATATTTGTGCGAATATTTGTAATATATATTGAAACTACTTATTAGATGTGTATATTTGTATTTAGATCATATTTAGTGTGTGTATATATATGTGTGGGTGTGAGTGTGTGCGTGTATATATATATATATATATATATATATATATATATATATATATGATGAAAAATTTTCACAGAGTTAACCTGTAAAAAAAAGACAATAATTAAAAATGTAAAAGACAATAGGAAAATTGTTATGGTAGCCGACGTGTTTCGTCCAATGTGCACTTTTTCAAGGCGAAAACGAAATGAATTTATTAAACAAATTAACTAATAATAACAAAACAAAATGTCCTTAGCAAATGGAAGAATTTAGAAAACGCTATTTTCATACTGTTAACTGAAAATTACGTCAATTACTGTCTCATGTAGAGATATTGTTTTTATTGTTGCGTTAACGGATACAACCATTTTCTTTTGATTTCTTGATACTGTTGTGAACGTTTGTTTGGGAGAAAAATGCTACACTCATAAAAAAAGAAAATAACTCACTCAGAAGGAAAATTCTCGAGAGTGCCATCATTGAATATTATCCAAATATTAATCTACGACGTGGCTTTTTTTTTCTTATTTCGCCTTTCTTAACAGAATTAGTACTCTCCCAAACAAACGTACAGCACAGTCGAAGCGTACACAGTGGATTGAAAGAAATATAATAACGCAAGGCCGCATAGAGCAAGCATAACAGAGGAAAATATTTTTGGAATTTAGCCTGTACTACTCTACCAGTCGCATTCAACTGACCTAGCAGCAACTTTACATTAGTTTTGGGGAAAGAGTGGAATTGTAGACAATGGATTAAAGAAAATATGTTTTTTATGTCAACGGAAGGCCGCATACAACAAGAATAATACAGGAAAACATTTCAGGAAATTAACCTATCCTACTCTACCCGTCACATTCACTTAACCTGACAGCAACCGTACATTAGTTTTTGGAGAACAGTGGCAGCGTACACAGTGGATTAAATTAAAATATATTCTCATGTATCTCGCATACAGTCTAACGTAATAACCCTGCCTGTTGCAGTTCTGTGCTGTCTCCCCGGTGGTTCTGACCGAAAAAGAAATCCACCCGATCTTCCTCCAGTGAACTGAAGGAACCACCACTATTTGCCACGTTGTGAATTCTTGATCCGAACAGCAGTTTATCGATCTCCCCAGAACGATCCGGTGGGAAGGAGAGAAAATGGCTTGGTATTTCGCTGAAAGGAAATCACTATTCATGCAGCAAAAGTTTCTTATCGTAGCCGCAATCACATGAAAAAGAAAAAAAATAAGTAACTCCTGTTCCTGTACAAAGAGCCCTATTTAGGCCACTGTTTTTTATGTCTCTACCGAATAATTTACACGAGTACAAAATGTCGTAACGAGATTCACTCATTTGGGTCGGAAAGTCACAGAGAGAGAGAGAGAGAGAGAGTAGGAAAATTTCTGCCTAAACAATTTCGGCTGAACACAGGAAGTCAGTTTTGGACCTGACCTCTACCAATCACATTCATTGCACCAACCGTACCATGTCAAATGAAAATCTGTGGAATTTTACTGAAAAAATTAGCGACGATTGATTTGTTTTTCCGACTTATCAACTCTTTGCAGACTTTTTAAAGCCTGAAAATATTTTTGGATTGTAATGAATACTTTGTCTTAATAATTATCAGACTTTGTCCATTTCATAATGTGTGACGTCATTTGTTTACATTTGGATACGCCATGAGCAGATATGAATGTACGTGAGAGATTCATAGAAGATTGAAGTTCAAATACAGTAAATTCGACCCTGCTAACCGATCGCTCCTCTGTGGCTAAATCGGTAAAGGCAAGGCAAGTCAAGCTAAATGACGGTTCCGTATAGGATACAGGACGGAGGACGAATATTTTCTATGAAAATTTCTCGGACATTCAGGCCGGTAAATGTTATTTAATACTGTTTATTATAAACAGAGCATTTACTTAAATATTTGTATCTATAAAAAGGATGTATAAACATAAAAATGTCTTAAAATATATATATATATATATATATATATATATATAATAGAGTAGATAAGTTGGTTAATAAAACAAAATCAAGCGAAAGGGTACCGATGTAATCAGTATGAAAAATATTTATTAATATTAACCAAGTGATAAAAATGAAGCATGGAGATTGAGATTGCAGGTTCAGAATTTTTGAACATGCCTTCCTCAGCGGATGCAAGAAATAAACAGAGGCACATTGGAAACTATCCAACATTAATACTTGAGGTTTGTTTGTAGGTGGAATTGTTAGAAAATATCCGTTCTCTGTTTGATTTCTCGCTGTGCGAAACTTTATGTGAAAATAACTGAAATAAAAACGTGACAAAAAATATAAAAAAGAAAGAATAAAACATACAAAAAAGATGTGCTCTGAACATGAGTGTATTTAACAGCTACCACAGTCCTTTAGGGACAATAATTAGTTGTTCGCGAGTGGTGAGGAAGAGAATGTCCGATCAAGTTCCTTTAGGTTATATATATATATATATATATATATATATATATATATATATATATATATATATGTATGTATGTATAAGTGATGTATATATAAGTGATGTTTTTATTTTATCGATATATAGCAGTTATAGCTATTTTTTCGTCTAATTCTTTGATTGATTGTTGTAGTCTATTCTGACGGTTATTTTGGTAGGATTGGTTTGTTAATTTATTTATTATTATTTACTTTATTTACTTATTTGGGTTGACTGATTTTACTTGTTTTTTATGTATTTTATTTTTTATTTTTATTTATTCTATTTCGTCTATTCTAACGGGAGTAGTTTGTTAATTTGTTTATTTTTTGGATTAATTTATTTTACTTGTTTTTTCATATTATTTTGTTTATTTGTAGTTATTCAGTTCAGTTTTCGATTTTTAAGTAACGTAGTAAAAATTTGTTTTCATGTCTGCATTTTGAGATGAGCTCAGTTCGTTTATTTAGTAATTTATTTTGGTCTGGGTAGGTAATAATAGCTATTTTTTCTTCATTATCTGGTGATTTACCA